AAAAATTTAACTCAAAATAATGTGATATAATTTTATTGCCATGTAAATCAAAGCCGATTAAGGACCATTTTTAAAATAAAGATAACAAAATAATATAAAAAAAGATACATTTCCCAGGAAAACAGATCAAATCTGTGCAAATACATTAAAGAGAATTACCAAATATAAATGTGCAGGTAGACACCAGCCTATGTCAAAACGGCAATCAAGAAATTAACCGATACCCTCTGAAAAAACACATGCATCATTTCAGTCTCAACAGTCAGAATAAGTGAAGTGATGTGACCAAGTATGGTGACCCATACTCGGAATTAGTGCTCTGCATTTATCCCATCCAAAGTGCACACACAGCAGTGAACACACTGCTCTGTTACAGCAGTGAACACACACCCGGAGCAGTGGGCAGCCATTTATGCTGCGGCGCCCGGGGAGCAGTTGGGGGTTCGGTGCCTTGCTCAAGGGCACCTCAGTCGTGGTATTGAAGGTGAGAGAGAGCACTTTACATTCACTCCCCCACCTACAATCCCTGCCGGTACAAGACTCGAACCCGCAACCTTTGGATTACGAGTCCGACTCTCTAACCATTAGGCCATGACTTCCCGATATACATTGGGGAAAAGTGCCAAGTGATCGAAAGTAACTAGCAGGTATTTCACACTTGTTCATGCACACAGCATGACAGTCAAAACTGTGTCATTCATTGATACTGTACGATAATCCGATTACAAAAAATAAAAAATGCGCTTGCCCGTTGCACTTTATCTTCAAACAGATACAGCTCGTCTTTCGTGAAGTAGCCTACTGTAGAACATAATACAGAGCGTTGCACAGTCAAAATCAAGTCCACCAGCTTTCTGATGGAGGACAGGATCGTATAGTCCCATATTCAGTTTCGATTTTGATTCAATTTAACTGTGCTCTGATTTCAGTTACATTGATATCAGCTAAGAGCCTTCGTGTCATCTCCCTCCACAGGTGTATTCACGTTTAGAGTCGAGTCACTCCCACTCTTTACCGTGTAACTTATATTTATACCACTCTGGCATTGTGATCGCTATCAGTTTAAAATCGAATCCCTTATCGCGCTAAAAACCCATCACTCATGAAACATCATGTCCAGAGCCGTAGAGAAACTCTGATCATCACATCTGTCTGCTGATCCCTCGTGATTAGCTAAAAGTGCGGCAGGCGACGTCAACATCAGCACCAGTTTAGTGGCATCATGGTGACTGATTGGATGCAGTACAAGCACACTTGGGTTTTGTTTTTTAACCAAATTGGCCTATACGGTTTAGATATTTGAAAACTGCCAAACTATCCCCAAACCAGCCCAAATTTTGTCCACCCGCCCAAACCATTTTTTACCAGCACAATTAAATTTTTTTCACAAAATTATTTTTGCATAGAGTCGCAAATTGTACCAAAAACAACGGCTCTGCTACCAACTCGCTAGGTCAAAAGGGTGGCAACGTCTGGATCTTGTATATTGTAGCCTACCCTTAATGCATTACATATACGCAATTAAAAGCTTTTAACTTATAAATTAAAATTGATGTTTTCTTTTAAGCTTTTTAAAAAACGACTCGCACTATTAAATTGAGTTGCTTCACTTCAATTTGACAGCCTGATATTTTCTTTCAGCTGCCTACTAAAAGTTCAGTGGCAGTTTCATGATGTTTCTTCCCGCAACATACATCTTAAGTTACTGAAGTGAACGTGATAAATGTAAGAAAGGAGCAACAAAAGAAAGCATTGTTTTTATAGTTTATTTGTCAAAATTTAAGTTGAAAACCATGCTGCAGACATTTTTCATACCGATAACATTTTCCAAAAATGGCTTTTACAGACAATCTCACAGATTAATCTGAAGTTGAATAATAGGTGTTTTATGCAGGCCTGTTCATTTCCCCCCCCCCCCCTTATCAGCAATGTTTAAAACTATTGGCAATAACAACTATACAGCTACCCATATTGCTCATTATCCTATAATAGCCATATAGAGTTATACACTTTATAAAACTATGTTATTTAATGAATGTGAGTAAACATGTAGCACCATACACCTGAACATAATCTGAGGAATAGACTACGGTTCTGGGTATTTAATAAACACTCATTTTCAGTATGCTGTATTCAATCCCACAGCCAGACACTTTATCAATAAATGAAGGAGAAAGCCCTTCTTTAACAGGTAATTCAACTAAAGTAATTTGAGATCTTTATAAGGCAAAATTTAATTATTCCAATTCAACAAATATAAAACATCCCTCATTACTAAAAATGGAGAGGAATTCAACCACTTCTGGTTCCAACTCTACATAAAATGAGCATTATTCAAACACTAGTATAATCATTAAGTCCTAATTACATGCTTAAAGGGATAGTTCACCCAAAAATGAAAATGTGATGTTTATCTGCTTACCCCCAGGGCATCCAAGATGTAGGTGACTTTGTTTCTTCAGTAGAACACATTTGATGATTTTTAACTCCAGCAAGCAGATAAACATCAAATTTTCATTTTTGGGTGAACTATCCCTTTAAATATACTAAACAAAACAGCTGCTATTAGTAAAACAGTGCATTTTCATATTGAAGTACCATAGATTACAACTAAATGCAATGTTATACTACACAATGCAATATGAACTTTTCTTTTTTTTTTAAGAACATTTATTCAACCTTTAGACAAAATAAAAAAAATAATAATTGACGTGTGTTTTAGTTGAGTATCATATGGCTTTTGTGGCTCATATAGTGATATAGGAGAATATGGAGCTCATACTCAAGGTGGAAAAAACACCTCAGTTTTATTCAGAGGCCCAAACTGAGCAGAAATATATAATTTGGTGAAGATGCTGATATTCATATGGCCAAAAAGCAAGTTGAAATTCTGACAGCTTGTAATGTAAATCAATGATCTCTGTAACAGTAAAACGGACTACTTGCATAAAAAGCATTTAAAAGTTTTCTATCTATATCTCCTAAAAATTATGTCTCAGTAAAATGTTACTTAAATGCTTAGTTTTATGATCAAAGCTGTGTAGTTTTTATTGTGGGGGTTGAAAACACCATGCAATACAACGCAATGATGATTGAGAGACCAAATTAACGTTCCTCAATCTAAACAGATCTAAACACAAGCAAGACTTACGTTTGTCTGTGTGCAGGTTATTTAGTAAGTCAGACTCATCAATTGACTGGTATTAAAGAAGTTCAGTTGTTCTCTACTCACCGATTTGTGTCGTCTTTTCTTTCCCTTCTTCTTGTGTTTCTTAGATTTCTTGTAACTCCTCTCTGTAAAGATCAAGATCACATGATGGTCACTGAGAGGCTGCTGTTAAACGCTCATGATGTATTCAGCATTGATGTGTTGTGCAGGACACTGATATCGATCCTAAACGACACTGACCAGACTCCCCAGAGGACGAGTGCTCGGATGGAGATTTAGATGCGGAGAGTTTCTTCTTCTTCGAGTGATACTCATCATCCTCTGACTCCGAGCCCTTCCGGGAACAAACACACAGGACACAGTTTAGGAGGATGAGCGAGAACGGGTCACACCTCAAATCTCCAGACCGGATCACAACACAAATAACACTCATTATTAGGCCTACTTTTGTTTTGTTTTCTTCTACAAAATTTACTGTAATCAGCAGTTGAAATCTTTTCAGAAAATTCTGATATTACAAAAACAAAATCAGTCTAGGGCAACACCGTAAACGGTAAAACGATCATTTTAAATAACTTTACAATTCAAATAGCACAAGACAAAAACAGACAACATTTTATAAAATAAACCTCACATTTCAACCTTTAAACCATTTTCTAAGATTCAAAATGATTGTGTTTTATATATAATTGGTCTGACTTGGATAAGAACAGAACAAACTGAATTGAGATGGATGATGAAACTACTGTTTTCTGTAGAAGACCATTTTTAACTAAACTTGAATTTGTTTTGACAAACTGACAAATCCCAAAACATTGCTGTTGATCTAAACTGAATCAACATTGAACTGACTCGAGCTGAATAACGACACTGTTGCCTTCTATAGAGCTGCTAAAAGCTTAATTGAATGTTTCATAATTGATGAACTTTACACAGTTATTGAACAGAATCAACACTGAACTGCCTGCAGCTGAATAATGACACCATTGTCTTTTTAGAGCTGCTTTACAGCAGAATTTGGATTTGTCTCATATGCATTGAAGTTTGCATCAGTGATTCTTTTATTCTCCAGTTTATTACTGTGAAGCTGCTGACAGTAGGCGCAGCACATGGAAAAGCAGAAATACAGCAGTTATGCCGGTACATAAAGCAGTGCTGCACTGTATTAGGCATTATACAGTAGTTATGAAGAAAATGGCATCAAAACATTTCTGAAGACAGTCAGTTCTTTCCAGCGATACATTCATATAAAGTAGGGCTGCACGATAAATCGCATGCAATATTTAACGCGCATCTTATCAGTAAAGCCGCTTCTGTAATCAGCGGTAAATCTCCATCACCTGCGTGCTTTCACATTGAGCAGCATTAACCACACGTTCATATTCGCGCGATTTTTTGCGCTGCTCGTCTGTGAACAATGGTAGTTATGAAGAAAATGGCCTCAAAACATTTCTGAAGACAGTCAGTTCTTTCCAGCGATACATTCATATAAAGGCATGGCTATTTCAACGGCGGCGAGTTTGCAGGTATGAAATGAGACGGCTAGAGCAAGTACTCACTGATCGAGATCGGGAACGTTTTCTGTGGTGTTTCTTGGATTTCTTGGCGTGTTTCTTAGTCTTTGAATGATGATGTTGACACTCGTGCTGAAGAGAGAGATCACAGACATAACCCACTGCTTTAGCTGAAAGACTTTCCAAGATTAATTTTAATTTTAAAAGAGTTTAGATATGAACAAATATGTGTGAGAAGACAAACTGTGCATATGTTAAAAGCGGTACACAGGCATGTTATCAGCTAGAGACAAAAAAGCAGGAAAATCCGACCTCGTCCCCAAGCCACGCCCCCCCACACTTATTATTTAAAAATATATATTTTATCACATTAAAAGATATATCTTATATTGTAATGCATACCATTGTCCTGTAAAAATAAAAATCAGCATTTAATAATCAACAAACAATTTTGAAATAAATCTCTGCTCACCAAGGCTGCATTTATTTGATCAAAAATACAGTAAAAACATTAATACTGTGAAATAAAAAAAAACTTTTTCTATTTTAATATATTATAAAATGTAATTTATTCCTGCGATGCAAAGCAGAATTTGCTGCATCATTACTCCAGATCTTTCAGAAATCATTCTAAAATGCTGATCTGCTGCTCAAGAAACATTTCTGATTATTATCAATGTTGAAATCAGTTGTGCTGCTTCATATTTTGTGTGGAAATGGTGATGCATTTTATTTTTCAGGATTCTTTGAATAGAAAGTTCAATGAACAGCATTTATTTGCATTTTTCAAATGCACTGCTTAAATTTATCAAAGCATTTATTAAATATTAATCTTTTGTAACATTTTAAATGTCTTCACTTTTCACTCACTTTAATGTATGATGAATACAATTATTAATTTCTCTCTCTTTTTTTTAAATCTTACCAATAACCCACTGCTTTAGCTGAAAGACTTTCGAAGATCAATTTTAATTTTAAAAGAGTTTAGATATGAACAAATATGTGTGAGAAGACAAACTGTGCATATGTTAAAAGCGGTACACAGGCATGTTATCAGCTAGAGACAAAAAAGCAGGAAAATCCGACCTCGTCCCCAAGCCACGCCCCCCACACTTATTATTTAAAAATATATATTTTATCACATTAAAATATATATCTTATTGTAATACATACTATTGTCCTGTAAAAATAAAAAGCAGCATTTAATAATCAACAAACTGTAGGATCTATGTCTCACAACAGACCCACCTACATGATGGAGACACACATCAAACCCGCACATTCCATGGAGGGTTTTCGAGGTTCGTCTCCCCAGCCATCTGCAGTCGTAAAACTCATGCCGGGTCAGTGAAGGTGAAGCATTTCCTGGACTGTTTGGCTATATCTCAAGATACGCTAAAAAGGACAGTACTTTCACGGTGCTTAAAAGCGTTTTACGGGCTTTCAAGGACCAGATAGAAATACCCTCATGACCAGTGGACGCATAAATTGCTAAACTCCGATCAACAAAAGAGACAATTTTATAGCTCCCTGTCCCGCAGGAGATTCTCCAGCAGACGCTCAGAGCAAACATGAGCGTGAACGAAGGACCCTTCCCTTTTCCTACAAATATACCCCAGCGACTTAAGACTGGGTTTGTGCTCCAGGTTCACAAATTATATAACAATTGATATTTTATTGTAATAGCATGACATACTCCCTCCCATGTGGCCTCAGGCTCTAGAGGGGGTGTGGCCTGTTTCAGCATGCTCTTAAACGCCGCCTCCTTCCTCTTCATCTTCCTGGCCTCCTCCTTCTCTCTCTCCCTCTCACGTGCTTCAGCCTTCTCCAGCAACTAAACAGATCAAACACATTTCTGAGGTCCACGTAGGCAAGACAGAATCCAAACCGAACTGAAAACCTCATAAGCGACTGATTTGAACAGTTCAACAAAAGCAGCAACACAGACAGCACGCAAAGTGCATTAGACAATAGGCTTGGCGCGATAGACGGTGCTGACGGTGATACCGGTGTTAAGCCGCAACACCGGTTATGTCACTTGCCCACCGCGGGACCGACCCCCACCGTCGTTTTGATTTTTTTATAGTAATAAAAATCATTAAGTTCAGTAAAAGAACAGACACTACAATTAAAAACTGAACGTCTATTATACATTTCAGTGATTTTAATTCTTCTACTCTTCTTTTGTTTTTAACTTTCAGTTTCATAATTTTAGGTGTTTTACACGACGTTTAAAATTTACTATATAGTGCATAAACGGATATGGCCAACCAAAAAAACAATGACTATGAGCTAAACATTTGTGTGTCTTTTTAAAAGCATATTTTTCTTTCCTTATGCTCTTAACATATTGTAGTTCTTCACAAGTACACTACCTGTTTGGAAAGGTTTGTAATAATTAAGATTTTTAAATGTATTTGAAAGTCTCTTCTTTCAGTTGTTAGTAATGGTTATCATTAATGGTTATATACTGAAAACATTGTGGAAACCATGCATTTTTTCAGGACTTTTTCATGAATAGAAAGTTCAAAAGAACTGCATTTATTTGAAAAATCTTTTGTAACGTTATAAATGTATTTACGGTCATTTTGATCACTTTCGATCAATTAAATGCACCCTTGCTGAATAAAAGTGTCATTCTAAAACCAAAATTCTGAATGGTATTGTATCACAATTTCCACAAAAATATAAGCAGTAGGGCTGTGCGATATTGAAGAAAAATGCTATATGCGATAACTCATAAAATAATGCGATATTCGATATGCGATACGATAATGCTTAAAGTGCCACATGCTCAGATGAAACAGTTTTACTCCGCTGTTGCTGAGTCAGTTCTGTGAACTTCTATAACTATCTTGTGTCATATACAGTATATATGGTTATTTGTATGTATGTATGCAGGGGCGTAATTTCCACTGGGGACAGGGGGGACATGTCCCCCCCACTTTTCAAAATGATATTGAAGAAAAATGCGATATGCGATAACTCATTAAATAATGCGATATTCGATATGCCATATGATAATGCTTAAAGTGCCACATGCTCAGATGAAACAGTTTCACTCCGCTGTTGCTGAGTCAGTTCTGTGAACTTCTATAACTATCTTGTGTCATATATATATGGTTATACCACAACGAATTCCTTGTGTTTGCGCACACTTAAGTGGTGAATAAAGCTCATTCTGATTCTGATTCTAATAAGAAAGCACCCCTACAACAACTTCTGAAAGTGAACGGTATGCGTTTTACTCGCGCATTACATAAAAATGTCATTTTAACATTAGTGTAATCATTTTAACATGAGTTTAGGAACTGAATAATAAAAAGGAAAAATACAACACTGCTTAGTATTTACTCTATGAATTCAATATGCACTGATTATTATTTAAGCTACAAAAGTTATTTAGGTAAGAGCAGTGAGTGATTTTCTCTTTGTCTTTTGTTCATGGCCCCAAATATTGCAAGCAGTAGCGATATGTACATTTGCGATATTTCGATATATTGCACAGCCCTAATAAGCAGCACAACTGTTTTCAACATATGATGATAATAATCAGAGATGTTTTTTGAGCAGCAAATCAGCATATTAGAATGATTCTGAAGGATCATGTGACACTGAAGACTGGAGTAATGATGCTGAAAATTCAGCTTTATTATTACCACTCCCTTCTCTTGTACATGTGGGACTAGCTTAGTACAGCCTTCATAAGCATAATTTGTTGCCTTTATATGTAACTAGGCATTTCATTACATTTTGGAACAATGTCATTTGAATAAAAGTATGAATAACAGCAAGGCAGTCTGCTTACACTGTTGAAGGCCAGTTTGATGTTTCCTGCATCCAGCGTGGTGGCACGTTTATCTGAACTGATCACTGAGCCAAACTCCTCAAAGCCTGTGTTGACCTCCACCAGTAAGCCCTTATCCTGCACGAACACACACACATTTCATCAAGGGCTTCAGCACTGATCTGATGTCAAACACTGACTCACTCACCTTCAGGATGTCTTTAATGATTCTCTTCTCATCATGATAACGCGCTTTCAGATCCTCCACGTAAAACTTGAATAAGTCCAGAGGGGTGGAGCCTAAAAACACATACAAAGCATAGCACGACTGAGCAACTTTTTTATATATTTTTTTCAATTAAAAAAAAAACACCAATCTCTAACAGCATTACATAATTATGATATACAATAAACAACTATTCTGAGAAGTAATGTAGTCTTAATCAGAGGGTTTTTATTTGTCATTCAATTTGTATTTAGTTTTAGATGGCCCAAAATAAGAAATTCTCTATTTTTTTTATGTGCTGACGTATCAAAGTCATGTGGAGTTCACAGACTGTACCGGTGAAATGGAGACCAAGTCAGAAATGAGGACAGGACCCTTTTGCATGTATTATTCATCAGCAACAAAGCCTGCCACGCTCTGAGTGTTTGTGCGAGAGAGAGAGAGAGAGAGAGAGAGAGAGAGAGAGACCTGGCTGGCCCAGCATGTTGTTGAAGCGGATATCAGCGCTGACGGTCGGGTACATCTCCATCCAGGCAGACATGGAGTGCAGCTGCCCGTGATCGTGAAGCTCATCCAGGAATTTCTGAAAAACACACACACAACGCTTCACAAACATGTCAACGCTCTTGTCCTTTACTCCTCAGTCAGTCTGCTTTAGCAGCATTAATATTGATTATGTTTTTAGCAAGCCACTGGTTATAAAAATCATAGCATAATTTGATTTGGTAAGAATTTTAGTGTTTCAAAATTGCATACAAGCACTTTAATATTTGAAATTTGATCCAAACCAGTCTGCAGTGGTGTCAGTAGATAGTAACATGGGAGATTTCAATTGTAAATTTTCCTTTCAAATGTGTAGCTGACACAATTCAGCATCAGCTGTTGTTGTTGTACGCAGTTTAAAGCCATATTATTGATACATTGCCATTTAACAATAAAAATACTTATCAATAAATTGCATTAAACATGCCAATGATGCTTTATGTATTTTTTTAATGATGCTTTAGCATTCAGGCTTTCTTACTGCACAATGATCCGCAGTTCGCTTAACTCTTTCAAACAGATCATGTGTCATCACAGACATCAGCTGATATTCCAGCATCAAGTTCCAGTTAATCAAGGTGAGAGCTTTTCATATTGGAAAGTAGGGCTGCACGATATTGGAAAAAAAACTCACATTGTGATAATTTGTTTTTCTGCTATATATATTGTAATTTGAAAAAAAAAAAATAACCAGATGACTTGAATAGCTGTATTTGGGAAAAAAAAAAAAAAAAAAATCAATGATTGGGGTGATTTTGTAGGTGAGTAAATCAGCATAGGAATAAACAAATTACAAGCAATATAATAGAACAAAAAGATACAAATGAAATAAACAGTGCTTTGTATTTTTAAAGCAAGTCAAACAGTATTCAGGTACAGAAATTGAATAATCAAATGTAAAATAGCACTGCATAGTCTTCACTGTATAAATTAAATCTGTGTTAAAGCTACAAAAGTGATTTTTCTCTGTTTTGTTGTTTGATTAACATGACACAGAAAGCAACATAGACATTAAACTGCAGTGAATATATTGTTATCTTCTTTCATTCTCAATTGTTTAACTTCACCTAAGCCATAAGCAACTGTTTTTACAAGGATACTTGCAGAGACATGCATTTTGACATATTTTCGCGCGTATGTGTCATTTCAGGCACAAATAGTAGCGGAAGTGAACTGAATTCAGGGTTCACGTGCATCTGCGTGGCTCTCACCGTGTCTACACCAGATGCGAGCAGCATGGCGCAACGTGACAAAATACAATAGAACCCATTATAATCAGTGTTGCTGTTTGACTGACTACACTGGATGCGGCGCGGCACGACAAATCCCCGACAGTATACCGATGCCTCCTATTTATGACGTACTGACACAAAGTTTAAGCTCTTTGTCGCGTCCAGTGTAGACAGACTTTGGGTCCGTTCACATGTCGCGCCTAAAACGTGTGGAAAACACCAGTCACGCCGCTTTCTCCTTCTTTCCAAAGCGCTCGGGAGCTTGCGCTTTCGTGGTGTCTGCCATTGCTAAGCAACCGTGACCTGCGCTCTCCTCGACGACGAAGTTTCAACAAAGGATAAATGGATTGAAAATCGCTTGCAGTAGCTCTGCTACTAAATGTATTTAAAAATGGGTATCTCTGTACTGCTGTCGCGTCCGGTGTAGACACGGTGTCTGTGTGTGAGCAAAGAAAACGATCAGTATAAATATAACAATCAGTATATTAAACATCGCACATCCTGCGATGTGACTATCGTGGATGCGCACATCGCGATATCGATGCTGAAACGATATATCGTGCAGCCCTATTAGAAAGCTGGACGTGATGCAGGGGACAAACCAGGACAGAGTCACACGTGTGTGTCACCTGGAAAGACTCTCTGTTCTTGCGCTGTCTGCGTCTCTCTCGCAGCAGAGTTTTCTGTTTCTCTTCCTCCTCCTCTTTCTCAAGAGCACGGATGTGTTCCTCGAAACAGATCAGAGCATCTTCTTTGTCCATGTCTAACACACACACAGACACAAAGGAAGATAAAAGCTTCCTCTATATCAAACACACTCACTCTCATTATGCAGGTTAAAAGCATCATCGTGTGGAGGTGGCAGTACAGTGTGTGTGTGCGTGTGAGTGTGTGAGTGTGTGTGTGTGTGTGTGTGTTCATACTCTGTAGCTCCTCATCTTCAGCAAAGGTGGGGTTATCCAGTAGGTACTGCTGTGCCTCAGACCACGTAGTTCTGTACGTCACATTGGCCATATTGTCCAAAATGTTCTTCAGAGCTTCCCAGTTCCTCTTCCGCAGCTGCTTGGCTTGTTCCTGAAACGAAGCATTGAGCCACAATCATGACAGGACAAGGCCAGAACAATATGTATATATTTTTATTTATTTAAAAAAAAGAAAAATAAATATAAAGGCATTATGGACTGTCCAGAGAGATACTCTTATATATGCAGACCAGTGACCACAAACCAAGTGAATTTTAAATTAAATGTAACAAAAAATATAGTTTTTTGTATTAGTGGTTGGCAAATGTAAACAGCCTACTGTTTAACTAATGAGTTATATTACTTGGAATAATTATTTACTGATTTGTCTACTAATAAATGGAAATAATGTGTATTGCGCTTGCTAAAGTTTTATTATTATAATTAGCCACTGTGTGTTAGTGATTTTATGATGCATCACACCTAACAACATCCCTTAATCACTGTAATGCACAGCCACATCTGGTTTATTGCTTGCTAATTGAAGTTTGCATATTAAAATGCATCCAAATGAAAGTGACATCAGCATTTAAATTGTTAAATTTAAAAAAAACTAATTAGCAGGTTATTAGATTATTAGTGTAACTATATACACTGAACAAAATTATAAACGCAACACTTTTGTTTTTGCCCCCATTTTTCATGAGCTGAACTCAAAGATCTAAGACATTTTAGAGTGGCCTTTTATTGTGGCCAGCCTAAGGCACACCTGTGCAATAATCATGCTGTCTAATCAGCATCTTGACATGCCACACCTGTGAGGTGGATGGATTATCTCGGCAAAGGAGAAGTGCTCACTAACACAGATTCTTTTGATGTACCATAAAAAAAAATTAAAAAAAACAGGTAGCCCATCTGAATTACGACATTTAGGCTATCCATCTAATAGTAGCCTACCAAAATCTTATTAACAGTCGAAGTTAAATCTTACTGTAGTCTTCAAATCTGAGTACTGTCTTGTGTTTTAAAATCACAAAGGGAGTTTGGTGCCATCAGGCTAACGTGACCCTCATGCAGCTGTAAGGTTTTCTGCTTCTTTTGTTTTTACTCGCGATCTTTACAACACGCATTACATTACGTATTTCATGGCACACTCGTTTTATGCGTATTTGGCGCCACCTATTGTTGTGGGTGTATTATTGACATGTCAAAGTCTAGACCCTGAATATAAGACGACCGCGTTTTTTCAGATGCATTTCCAAGAAAAAAACATCGTCTTATATTCTGGTCAATACGGTATATATATATATATATATATATATATATATATATGAGAGTGCAGTGATGAACAAAATCAGCCAATCAAACCTTCTCTTTCTTTGCTAAATAAAACAGCACATCTTCATAGATCTCCTGCCTGTCTCTCTCGGGAACACATGACCACACCTCCTGATCGCCAAACATCTGCTCCGCTTTCCTGTACAAGACAAGAGAAACTTACAAACAAGCACTGCTTAAAGAACAACCTTTTCCATAACGTTTCATAAAGCACGATTTCCCTCATGTGAGAGACTACGAACATTGCTGCAGTTCATAAGTTAGTCTACTACTAGTAGGGGCAGTGATATTACAGGATATTAACGCCATATAAAACTACTAATTAATAACAGAGTATCTCTGAGACCTTATGACACAGTGCAGACAGGAACTCATGAAAAACAACACCGCTATTTAAAGCCTGATTACAGGTGAGATTTACACCAATAGCATCATTAAACCTGCCAACATGTCACCATGACAATGCTGATATGATTTTAATCATCTAAGTAAGTGGGGGAGTAAAGTTCAACTGCTCTGAATCAATGACAGCCAAAGAGAGCTGAAAAAACATTAACCTTGTTTATAGTAATACCGGATTAAAAATGAGTGGTGCTGGTGCATGCAAAACTCCACTATAATGCTGGAGTGATGTGGGGGTGATTGCCAGGGCACTGCTATGCAGTTGCTAAGGTGTTCTGAGTATATTTTAGTGTGTTGTTATACAGTTGCTAGGATGTTCAAATCTCCAACCCAAAGTATGTGGTCTGCATTGTGATTTTTGTTATTTTTAAACAGGCATTGATTAAAGTTGTCATCCAAACAGTTTTAAATCTCACTTGTATCGTGTGGTTGAGGTCATCTTCTCATGGTTCTCCAGGAAGCGCTGGAAAGTCTCTTTAGACTCCTTGTATTTGATTCGGGCTTCTTCCTTTTCCTCTTTCTCTGTCTGGACTTTATAAGCATTGAACGCCTGTTTCTTTTCACTTAGCTTGGGCAGAGCACTGCACACATACACACACACACACACACAGAGAGAAAGAGATGTGAGCGGTTCAGTGAAGAACAGCAGGGACACATTTAACTGTGCACAGGATGTAAATGCTATTAAATTCCATTAATGCTGTGTGCAGTATTTGGATACCTGTAACGAGGGTCATTAATTATCAGCTTCATTGCCTGCTCCCATGATGCATTGGAGGAAACGCCCTATAGTCAAATAGAGGGAGAGAGATGCAAATGTACTTTTCTTGTGACTCAATAATGCATGTTGGGGGGGGGGGGAATCAAAACATAGTAATAGTGCATTACTGCAAACTTCCCAGGAGGAAGGCAGCACAACTTCATTTAGATCTGCTAAAGAACCTAATTAGCAATCAAGACATTTTTCATGAGTTGAAATATACTGAGCGATTTTAATTTGACCGAATCGATTATTTAATTTCTCATGTCATTGTCGAGAGGCATAAATGGGCGTCCACTGAGAGGGGCAGAAAAACAGCAGAACAGTAATAAAAAGGTTCGGAGAAGTAGATCTCCATATGTTGACGTCACAAAACAGAAAGTTCTTCATCCATTCTGAGCGTGTATTTCTGAAAGGCTGTCAGGGGTCTGTGAAGCGTGCGATTTCACCGTCTTCTGTTTCACTCCAGTCTAATCACACTCACAGCAATTAAACAGCCCTCTCTCAGGAGCACTTTGTGCGCCAAATTAAAACACACTAAATTTAGAAAGACCCAGACGGAATATCAACACCTCCCTCTTCACTACAGGGGGAGAGAGAGAGAGAGTGAGTGAGAGAGAGAGAGAGAGAGAGAGAGGCAGAGAGAGAGAGGGAGAGAATAGCCATGGGTAACCCCCCATTCCCCTCGCACCATGTGCCATGTTCACTTCAACAGAACAAGAACACAAACGCGAGCTCCGGTTGCATTCATTAGCCAAAGTCCGAAATCAAAACTGGCGTAACTCTTCGCTCTAAAAACAGCCCTCAAAAATAATTATACAGAGAAGTTGCTTCAGAGAGTGTCAGGACGGCCTTGTTGAGAGAAGCCATTAAAGGAGCTCGTCTGAAAGCAGAAGTGTCTACTTGCCCCCCTTCTGCTTTTCACAAACGTCTATCAATCAGGGACGGTCTAATTGCATTTCCTTGTTTGCTTTTATTAACATCTATTATCATATTTTTTTTTCTCCCGCTCTCGTTTTCCACTAAATGAATTTTAATAATTTTCACAGCACATGTGAAGGAAAATGGAGTAGTAAAAAAAAAAATCCCTTGCACTCATGTTCCAGGGGATATGGTTAAGCCAAGCATGTATAATTGTCTTACGCTAATTAAGGGGAGGCTGAATCCAAGGCTTGTAAACTTTCTTCACCAGCTCAGGTCTCTCCTCCTTAGAAACATCATTACTGCAAATAAATAAATAACACGTATCATAGAAAATCGCGTAGTGCATGATGGTCACAGACTATGATCCAGTCGGAGGATATCAAACATGTCTGATATTTCAGACGTCTCCTAGCAACATTTCAGCTTGAGTTTGTTTTGGAATGAATTTAAAGTCTGCTAGTGTATGATCCTCAGTCGTTTAGTGTACGATGGCCAGTTTTTCCATCTGTGACTATTACAGAGTGTCAAATTTGAGTGTATGATGCCTATTATTTTAAGATCTGTTCAGTTTTTGAAAGTCGTGTAGCATATGTGTTGAGGGTTCATTACCTGGGTTGTGTCTCTATGCTCGGCGTTTCCTCAGTGGAGTTAACGGTGACATCACTGCTGACCTCAGCAACCGGTGCAGGCACGTGAGACGGCTGTTCCTCTGTGGCGACTGTCGCCATGGTAGCCTCTGTCTCAGCAACTGCTGCCACGGTAACAGAGGACTCGCTTTGAGATGTAAGAGCAGGGGTGGTGCCAGGAGCCACAACGTCAACCGTCCTTTACCAGACACAAACACAGATTTAAAAATTATTATCATTGCATAATCTTTGCATTTCTAAAAAAAAATAATAATAATTGTATGGAAATTATATTTTTTATGGAGTTTTAAAAAATTCTAAATTTCAGTAACACCGAAGACTACTCTGAGCCTGGGAAAAAATAAATAGTATTAATGTTTCACTTTACTATTAAGCCATTGATTTGTGTAAAATGATGCCAGAAGTAGTGGTGAACCTCCACAACCTTTGGCAACAATGGACAGTTTTCCACTAACAGTAAAGCGTTTTGAAACCTAAAACTGCTTTCTGTAAATCTAACGGTACATTAAAAGGATAGTTCACCCAAAAATGTTTATTCTGTCATGAATTATTAACCCTGTCAAAGCAAGCATGTTTGAGCTTCCATTTACCACATTTGATGAGCTCTACGTATGTGGGTTGATCAATGTTAATATGTAAAAATAAAAAAGGGTCTAAATTAAATGTTTATAATTTAATCGCTCAATTGATGTAGATTAATTTGTGTTTTGAAGATGAACAAAAGAGACATAAAGGTTTGGAATGACTTGAGGGTAAGTAAATGACATTTGTATTTTTGGGTGAACTAACCCTTTATGGTCTTAGTAAATAAAGTTGATGCTCACCCGTTTTCCTCCGCCTTTATCATCGCTGAAGAAAGGAAAAAAAAAAGAGAGAGAAAAGTTAAACCATTTCTTCATGTGAGGTTTCTGGATGTGTATTTATTCTGCATACTGACCCTCCAGGTCCTCCAGTTCTTTGGGTTTAGTCCAGCGAGACTCTTTGGTCTGTGAGTTGTAGTAATAGGGCTTGCCGGTGTCTGACTTGTACTCTTTCCACGGGCATCTGGACAACATTTGCTGCAAAACACAAACTTCTTTAATTCTGTTTCAAAATACACAGTTATGACACAACAAATGAGAAAATGAAAAGAAACCTTTGAATAGAAACAAAAGGATATCTCATATTTTTGAATTAAGTTTTATATTTCAACCTAGCTTAATATACATTTTCCCATAAATTTATTTTACTTAAAAAATTTTAATAAAATGTAGACAATACAAAAAAAATGATTCGTTTGGTTCAGCAATTTGTTTGGTATAAACTAATAAATGCATACAGTGCGCTTTACTTGTCTAACATAAACAAACAAACTAGTAATAATAGTATTACTATATTAATTACGGGGCATTAGACTCTCAAATGCAGAATAAGGTCATGACCTCCTGAATGAACTGTAACTGGCAGATGAAATATGACTGTGCAAGCAAGAAGGGCGTGTTGACCTTTTATTACCTCTGCAGGTGATTTGAGATCATCTGGTTTCTCCCAGGTGGATTGTTTGGTATCGGTGTTGTAGTAATATGTTTTTCCATCCAGGGATTTGTGCTCGGTCCATACCGACTTCTGCAGGAGACATCATGAACAATTCGCTCAGTACATCATTAGTGGCTAGTCATCACTAGTCATTTCATCGGCCACATCCTGCAGTCGCTAGTTAAGTTGTATAAAACCAGTACACACCGGCTAATTACATCCATAGCATTCATAGTTGAATTCTTATTGTTCCCTCTTCCGTAGGGATGGGAATTGTAAAGAATTTAATTACCAATTCTGCTTCTGAACCTCATTTAAAAGGATAGTTCACACAAAAATCAAAACTCACCCGCAAGTTGCTCCAAACCTGTATGAGTTTGCTGCTTCTGTTGAACACAAAAGTAGATATTTTGAAGACTTTTTGTAACCAAACAGTTGCTGGTAGCCATTGACTTCCATAATATGAAACAAAAAAATACTATGCAAGTCCATGGGGACTCAAAACTGTATGGTTACAAACATTCTTCAAAATATCTTCTTTTGTGTTCAACACAAGAAAGAAATTCATACAGGTTTAGAACAACTGATACAATATGTGTGTGTGTATATACACACACACACACACACACACAGATACTTTTTTAAGCTGTACTGTAATTTCAGGCATATATAGTGTTTTATGACCGATAATAACTGTTGTGTCTTGCCTTTTTCGACTGTTCATCAGGCGAAGACTCAGTTGATGTGGTGCTCTAGGAGGAAAACAAATCCATGAAAAAAATGAATTCTGTCTTCAAGACAGGAAAGTAATTTAAACTACAATCCTAACTAAACAATATTAACAATAATATGATGTTTGCTCTTACGGTTGTTCCAGGAGCAGCCGGTGCTGAAATAGAACAAAACCACTGATTACATTTAGAAATATTAATCAACAATATGACGTTTACCCACAACTATTTAATCTCTCACCTGCAGACTCCACTGGACTCACACCAGGCTGAAAAGGACAAAGAAAAAGAGGGTTTCATTACTAAAAGTAAACCATTCAATGGAATAAGCTCATTTATATGTGATATCTTTGAAAGGACTTGAAACTTCACATCATCCAAGAAAGCCCTGTCAATAATTGTTGGAATTAAATTAGTCCATGAGCAGATCTATCAGAGCTAACTTCATTAGCAGCCTCCTTACCTCAAATTACAGGAAAGGGAAATGACATCCTGACTGACAGCTCCTGGAGTGTCAGCTGGTTTCGGCATCTGATCAGATGTCTTCATCTACAGCTCAAAGCCTGGCGCTAATTATTACTGATGCTATCACTATTTAATACGGTTAACCAGCAAAAAGGCTGTTTGATGCTTAATATAGCTGATTAAATGAAAGCAGATCTTAATCACCACTGAGGAGGTGTGTTCAAAATAAAGAACTGCACACGTATGGTTTGTTTGTTCTTATATAAACACACTGAATGGAAACTGTGTCCTTTCATCCTGTTGTCCTTTGAAACACAAATGAATTAAGCCACTCTAATTGAACTGGCCTGTTTCATGTTATTGGTCAGATATGACTCCACTTTCCACACATTTCTCTCCATGTACATTATACACCATCACATTAAGAATTGCTCACAGCTAATGTGTAGGTACTGCCTTCCTTTTAGAAATACATTAAAAATGCAGACATTAAGTGGGTCATATCATACAATTTAACATTAAATATTGTAATGTTAGTAATTTTGATAATGTTTGTATTTTTTGGCTTAATATAGCTCAACATAGTTTTTAACTGCCCCATCAATTAGTAAAAGCCTCTTTGCAAAACTGAATTTCATTGAGTCTGAAATTAAATGCATCATACCGTTCAAAAGTTTGGGGTCAGTAAGATATTATTTTGGTGTGTGTGTGTGTGGGGGGGTGTTTCTGAAGGTTACAGTATGTTTGCTTCCTGGTGATCCCTTTATTTACATTGTTGTTTTTCATCACCATTTTCCACCCTCTCTGAGAGGCTGCTGAAAACTGAAAATGTGGATGATTGAGCTCATGATTGTGATATCATGATGATTTCTGAATGCTGTTTTTATAGTTTAGTTTCAAATGGTCTGGGTGGACTAAAAAAGCAAGAAAAATCCTGTTGTCCATGATGTGATGCTTTTATTAAAGTCTAACTTAAAGGGGACATATGATGCGATTTCAATTTGTCCTTTCTCTTTGGAGTGTTACAAGCTCTTGGTGCATAAAGAAGATCTGTAAAGTTGCAAAGACTAAAGTCTCAAATCCAAAGAGATATTCTTTATAAAAGTTAAGAGTCAGCCACGCCTACCTAAAACGGCTCGTTCTAACACGCCCCCACATATCTACATCGCTATGTGGGAAGATTTGCATAACGCCGCCCAAATGTTCACGCAAAGAAAGAAGGTGTAACTTTTATTCTCGCTGTAGTATTGTTGTTGCCGCCGCCACCACCATGTCGTAAAGACGCTATATGTTTCCTTGTGAAAGCGAAACTACTTTGTTTGGTCTTCCAAAAGAGGACGATATCCGCTCACTCAAGCCGGCCTCCGCTCACTCTAGCCCCACTGGATGCAACAAATGCCTCGTTTATAATGGGTTTTAATGTGTTTGTCTCGCTCCGGCCGGGACAAGGCATCACAATATGGCAAGGCAGGGCTCGACAGTGCGACCATTTCAGTCGCATTTGCGACTGAAAACTACTGCGTGCGACTATGAAAAAATATTTAGGAGCACCAGTGCGACTGACCAGATCTTCCACTTCTGAGCCTCATTAAATGTCTGAAAGTACACCAAGCCACTTTTGTGTTCTTCTGTGCCACCTCTACAAATTAATTTTGTTAATACTGATTTCGTTTGATTTTTAACTTATGTTTCTTATTCTACTCTTATTCTGTCGTTTTAATTACAATTTTTAAAAAGCTTATAAAATATAATTTTTTTAAGAATTTGACAAAAGATGACATACTTTTAATAAAGTTAGAGGAGTCAAATATTACCTCGTAATGGGAAGGCTACTTTTTGATAACATTTTGGATTATTGATTAGAAGGTGCTCCTAAAATTTTGAACGTGCTCCTGAATTTTTAAAGTTAGGAACACAAGTGCTCCTAAAAAGAAAAGTAAGCGTCGAGCCCTGCAAGGGGCGTAATCTTCCGTCACACGCTTGAGGTATTCGGCCAATCACAACGCACTGGATAGCTGGCCAATCACAGCACACCCTCGCTTTTCAGACCGATGAGCTTTGTAAAAACCGACGCGTTTCAGAAAGGCGGGGCATAAACATTTCATTACACCAAATGCACAAAATAATGTTCTTTTTAGCAACATCATATGACCCCTTTAAACAGAATAGTAGCAATGCTGGGAAGGAGACGTACAGCATCGTACACTGAAATAAATTAGTAGAGCAAGCTGATCTCGTCCGCTACTATCACTCATGTCACATGGGTAAGTGCTATAAAAAATGGTGTTGATTCTAAATTGGGACATTTTCCCACTTTGTAGTGTTCATTGGGGTTATTCTGACACTGCTGACAGCATGTGAGGGTCTATATTTAACTGGCGCTGGTGGAGTAGTGTGATATACAGGCTAGTTTACCGGTCCTGTAGGCTGGATTGATGCAGCTGGCATACGGGGGGGCATCATCATTCCAGGCATCATTGGTGGCATCATGGCTGGCATCTAAGAAAAGAGTTTCATGAAAAATTCATGTGAACTGCTAATTTCCCTCCTACGCTGCACAGGGGGAGATCAAGGTGTGAGCTGAGGGGTGTAAAGCACATCTTATGCTCTGTAGTCTACAGTCCCTCATTACAGTCTGACCCTCACTCACAGCCAAAAACATCCACTAACACGCCATTCACACACACACACGGAGCATCAGGTCCAATAAGACAACACTATAGCAATCATATCAATAATTTTACATGACTATATTCATGTTCAAATTTTTGCATTTCTCTCATTTTCATAATAGGGTGAATTGCATGAAATTCCAAGAAATGTTCTGAATCATTTGTAACCCAATAAATCTTGTCTATAAATATAACAAGCACATTTATTTGTGGGATTCACACAAGAACTATAAATACTAATGGTGATGGAGTCTTAAGGTCCATTCACACAAAGAATGATAAGTAGCTTATAGGGATGTAACGATTCACTCAAGTCACGATTCGATTCACGATTTTGATTTCACGATTCGATTCATGATTATTTTTTTTTAACAAAATGACACTTAAGACATTATAAATTAAATGTGTCCTTTTATTATTGCTTGGACAAAATGCTGCACGTTTCTTTGTACGCCAAGGTGTCCGTAGAGGGCTGTTATAACTGTATTAACGTCCACACCAATGGATGATAACATTCTGTGTTTTTATAAATGCACACTGCAGTTACATCATCAGCCGCTTTAAATGCTCAAGCTTTTTAAAGTGGATTTTGATTGGCTGTCAGTGTCTTCATTGTTCATCTGCTGAAACCAAACCGCTCAGAAAGTAATTCCAACAGTATCGTCCCACATTGTCGATATTGTTATAGCTGTGGTGTGGATTTTCCTACTCTTAATGAATCAGAATGATTCATTTTTGACACCAGCAGTGAATTTTATCAGAAGAGCAGGGGTCTCATTTATAAACGTTGCGTACGCACAAAATGGGCATAGAAGTATGCGTACGCAATTTTCCACACACATATCGGGATCATTTATCAAAAAAAAACTTGGCGGAAATATGCGCGCCGTGCGGACATTCTAGACCATGCATACGCACTATTTTTCCTGGAGTGGGAAAAGTAATGAAGTTTGTTACGAATGAGACGACTTAAACTTTGATTTTTCCAATAATTACTGAATTAACAATAAAACACATTACTTTCCTCACATTCACACGTGTCAGATTTTAGTTCTTTAAATATTCTCTGCCGTAAAATGTACAATCTAGTTCTTCAAAATTTCAGATAACGATTATTTGTAGCACAACCACTAGTGAACCAATTGGCAAATCGCTCTAATTCTGGATCACTGTAATAACAACTCAATCATTATTTAAATCAGCACCCACTGAACGTCAAATTATTAGCCAAAATCTGACTCACAACAATCTCATGTAACAATCTTTGTCCAAATTTGCATACTCTGAGACTCACAACAAATGAAGAATCATTACTATCCTATACACACTTAAAATTACAGATTGTTCATGTAACAATCCTTGTGTCCAAATTTGCATACTCTCGGAGAGTATACTACAGTTGATGAAGAACTTACTTTATGACCGTTAATATGACGTCCATCCATACGTAGTAAATCCACCACGATGGCACTGTCATGTGACATACAACGTCAGCCGCGCTGTGTTACTGTTCATGCCGGTAGACTACTTTGCATGTGTGAATGACCGTGTCCGTAAGCTACCATGTAAAAACCTGATTTAAAAACACTGCATCCTTTCAAAGCGAAATCTGACTGCCATAAGCAGTGTTTGCTATTAGCTCTTACCTGTCCTATGGGTGGAGCTCCCATCGGGGGGATCATGGGAGGCATTATTCCCGGGGGCATGGGGGCCATGCTGGGCGGCCTCTGGCCCATGGGTGGCATTCCCATTGGAGGGAAGTGAGGCGGGATTCCTGGTGGCCCCATCTTTGAAAACAAAAATAAATTCAAGGCATGAATGAAGGTGAACACTACCAAGCATTCGCAAAGAGAGAGAGAGATGGCATTACAGCAAAGACTTTCCAACACAAACTTACAAAGAGCGGGGGGATTCCTGCAGGTGGTACACCAGGAAAAGGTGGTGCTTGACTGGGGCCACTATTAGCATCAGTCGAAGACTGTTATGAACAAAAGAGTCCATTACAGTAACCACTACAGCTCTGATAAAGATGCTGTACATCACTGATTTAAAGTGTGATGAGGTTTTCACAAGCCTGATGTAATCTGACAGAGCCATACATCACATCCAAGCTTATACGAGCAGAACTATCAGTGTCAGATGTTTCCTAAATATTTCACTCATACCAACTAGCATAACTTCAAGGCTATTAATAGACAGACTTCATATGTATAGCAAACAGTGATTTATAATCGTCTTGCCCTTAACAAACCAAGCAACTGAGAACTCAATCAACTATCATCAGAGTTTGACGAATCAAAAGTTCCCTCTCACTTTCATCGGGGATAGATCAATTATCAGTCTCCGATTATCAATAAAAACTCAGTTTATCATACAAGTCATTGTGATGGACTTTATATCCTTTAGTCTTATACAGTCTCATCAACATCAGTGCATCCTGTTTAAGGAAACGGATGATCATAAACAAACTTCTTACAAACATAAATGTTTCACACAGTCAGATTTGTAACACGTGCATTAAAAATATCCATAATAAATCCAAACTCTCATTCAAACACTCGTTAGCTTTAGCTTTAGCATCAGTCACTCATCCACATTAGCCTACATGCTAACCAACATTTATTTTGTCTATAATATACCCATTACTTCACTACAAGTCTTTAACCCAAGCGTATAAACCGTTCATTGTTTATATGTGTCATTTGTAAATGCTAGAATATGCCAGTTTGGTGTTTATGTTAATAAAAAGTCTGTTTTTTGGACTCACCATGATGAGTGAACATGCAGCGGCCCTCCGCGAGACAAAAACCTACGCTCTGATTGGCTGCTGCGTGTCGGGTTCAAACTACAGCAGGCGTGTTTCAAGTGCAACAACACTGCGTAAGAAGCGCGCATCTACCAGTTCGAAGCGCAGGAAATAAAAACACCGGAGAGCTGCGCAAGAAATACGCAGATCCGAAGCCTGAGTACAAGCCACATTTAGGCAGCGATGACGAGCTGTCATGTTAATTGTGTGATAAACAACAGAGGACTAATACAGTAAATAAACAATTAAAACAGATTAAATATTATTAAACATTTTATGAAATATTGTGATTATAAATGTTATTATTTAATTTGTTTATACCTATTTCAATACCTAATGCAGTGAGTCTTTGATTTCTATTCTGTGATGATGCAATGTATTTATTTACAATGAATGAATACAAAACATTTTATTTAAAATAATATAAATTTATTATACAATATGCATGTATTTAACTCATACATCCTAACGCCCACAATCCTAGTAGCGGCACTACATAGTGTGCACATTTCAAATGCACACAGCTAAAAGACAGTTAGCTAGCCTAGCAAGGGATGATGCCGTTTTGTAGGCCAAAACATGGAAATGAGTTAGCATTTTAGCACTTACAGTTGTATCGTCCTGAAGTCAGTGTGTTGTTTGAGTGGGTTTTAAAGGGATAGTTCACCCAAAAATGAAAATTTGATGTTTATCTGCTTACCCCCCAGGGCATCCAAGATGTAGGTGACTTTGTTTCTTCAGTAGAACACAAAAGGAGATTTTTAACTCCAGCCGTTGCAGTCTATCAGTCGTATATTGCATGGCAATGGTAACACAATCTATGAGAGTAAAAAAAACATGCACAGACAAATCCAAATTAAACCCTGCGGGTTGGTCACATATTTTCAGCAATACTCCAACAGCCAATGGAAAAAATACTACTGGGATTTTTTTTGTGGAAACCAGGGTGATGATAACTTTCGGGTTGGCCTACAAAAATATGTCATCGCTACAGTACTCTATATAGATGACCTGAAAGCAAATAGACTCCCCAGAAAAGGGAAAAAAAAAGGTTTTACAAGGTCTTTGGCCTGAAGTTGTAAAAACCATTCCCATTTTTTTGTATCATTGGCTTTATCTTGAACTGAAATAGATTTGACTGATGAGACTGAACCACTGAAGTCTGATTCTTCTGTGCGTTCTTCATTTTTATGAATTATAAACAAATAACAGGCTGATTTACTGATCTAACACATTTAATCCATCATACTCTTAAGCTATTTATCTCTGGATGACAGTAATTGCCAGAACCATGTAAGCAGAGTTACTGAAGATGTATTTGACCTTTAATTAACTAATAGCTCGTACAGTAGATTTGACTGATGAGACTGAACCACTGAAGTCTGATTCTTCTGTGCGTTCTTCATTTTTATGAATTATAAACAAATAACAGGCTGATTTACTGATCTAACACATTTAATCCATCATACTCTTAAACTATTTATTCTCTGGATGACAGTAATTGCCAAAACCATGTAAGCAGAGTTACTGAAGATGTATTTGACCTTTAATTAACTAATAGCTTGTACAGCAAGCCTAAATGCAGAACATTTCATTGTGCAATTGTGAATAAATTAAATAATAATAATTGGGTTAATTAAAGATCACATTAAGCAGAGACCTTTAATAAATGCTAATACACAAATGTCACTGATCAACGATAGACCTTAATACACTAGAGAGCTCCTGACATTTAGCTCAGTCATTAATAGGAGCTCATTTGAGGTGCATTAAGGCTACAATGAGGAATATTTCACAAGTAAAACTTTTGCAGGATAAGGGGCTGAAATCAATGCAGCCGCCCAGCGTGCTCAGGAAACAATAGTCTCTCTGACACATGCTCTATTTCTAAGCTCTCGGCAGGTAGTCAGGGAACTCGGTCTGTCGTCTCAGCACCACGGTCATCCGTCATGCTGCTTTAATTGGCCGCTTGTTCCCATTTACCGTAACATTTATTTTCTCAGGCCCGGGGGAGGAAGATGCAATTTTGAGACTGATGCTAGACCCTGATAAAAGCCCATGACTCATAGTTTATGAAATAATTCACCTGTGCCTGAGCAGAGAATATTTGATCGGCCTGTCATGCTGGATGCTGAGACAGTGTGTTTCTCTTTCCCAGCATTCACATCAACACTGGGAAAAGAAAGAAAGTTTGTTTTTATTTACAGCATTAAAAAAACTTTTTTTTTTTTGCAGTGAAATAAGATGTAATCTGTTAACAATAGAGGTCCAGAAAAATGGTTATTATGGCGACCCCATTACAGCTAATTATGCACACTTCAAAATAAATAAATAAGGGGTTATTTTGTATTTCAATTTTGTTGTTTCCAGTACACATATCTGAACATTACATATACATTTTCTTGATAATTCAAGTCATGTCAACCTTTTAATAGTGCTTTATACAATTGTTTCAGTATGATTGCTTCAAAGCAGCTTCACAGTAATAAACAAGAAAATAACAGAATCATCAAATGTGCATAATAATCATCAAACTTCATCAAATATGAGACAAATTACAAATTTGCTGTAAAGCAGCTCTAAAAAGTTAAGTGTCTTGTGTGACATGACTTGAATTCTCAAGAAAATGTATCTTGATTTACAAATTGTACTATTTGTACTGCAAAAGACAAAAATATGATTTTTTTTCTCAATTTAATTTTTAAAATCTTTTTTCTGCAGTGCAGCCCTGTTACTTGCAAACCTTTTACTCATTTTACTTTTTTATTCGTTTTTTTTTTGTCACATGGCATCATTTTCATCAAGGTATATTTCTTTGCTGTTTGATCCTTATACAGCACATATCAAACAGTTTTTTTCCTAGCATTTCGAAAAGCATATGCCATAGCAGTTTTCTTGAAAGAAAAATAATGTTTCATCATATTTGGTTTTTGCAGACATAAGTACGAGACAGTGACACCGACATAATTTAGGGAACAGGGAGCAATTTTCATGTAATTGGGTGTCATCAGTGGATCCTGGAGGTAAAGCCGACATCAAAGCCATTGGAAGATCAGTTGGATGGGTGAAGAGAGACTCGCCGCTGCTGTGGCCATGACGCCAGCTGCCACACACTGCATCTGCAACACACACACACACACACACACACACAATCTGCCACTCATTAGAGCAGGATCACACACATGCAGGATCACACACATGCAGGATCACACACACGCACATGCATTAACGTGTGGACAGCTTCAGACATCAGCATTTGACTCACTCATGACATTCTCAAAAGTGAACGTAACATCAAAACTGGCACTTGTGTCTTTGTATAGTGAGCAACAGTATGATTTCTCACCTTTAACGTAAAATGACTTTGTGCTAAGAAAACAAAATCTGAAGTTGAGCAGATGCTAAGAATGTTCAAACACTTATGTCAGTCCTGTAGGCTTCAGACGGGATTCTCATTCTCACACAGAAACAGATTGGTGCGTGCTAGAATGCACTCTCGTGAACAAAATCAGATTAACACATACACATGCCCACACACAAACACACTGATGCTCTGCTTCATTTATAAATAGCATGTGTTATCTCTCACCTGAGCCCCTGATGGTAATGAGGAGGAGTTTTCTCTGTCTGCCTGAGAAGAGAGATATAATCTCTCTTATAACCCCCCCCCAAAAAAAAAACACACAAAAAAACACAATGTAATGTGTACAGGGTTCCTTTTTTGTACTATAATTTGGAACCAATTCCAAACCCTTACCAAAAAGTAGTATACTTCAGGTTTATTTTATTAAGTATACTTAAGTAAAGTTCAAGTATATTTTTAAGTATACTTTATGTAGCAAGTATACAAATATCAGTGTACTAGTAGTATACTTGTAAGTGTACTATTTCAATACTCCTTGGGACTAAATTGGCCCACTTTCTAGTATATAAAAGTATACTTTAAGTATAACAG